AACATGACCACATGACAGCTTAAAATGCTATCTGATCGAATGAAAAAAATATACAAGACAAACTAAAATATTTTGTCAATAAAATAAAATAATTATTTATTTCAAATAAAATAATGAATAAAAACTGAGATGAAAAATGTACTTAAGCCCGAAATATAATTTTACTATGGTAAAATAAATGTTCAGCGATATCTTCAAAAGACTTTTGAATTTTGGTGCACTTTTTTTCTCTATATAATGTTGATATGGTAACTAATAAATGCTGTAAATTTGGTTAAGCTAGCATGTGTGGAAATACTTAAACCACGTGTGTTACAATTTACCCCGCGTTACTTTGTGCCCCGCGCCCCCCTAAAGGTCATATTTGGTCTTTGTTTGTTGTGTAGACTTCCATTTGCACATCTTAAATCATTTATTAATTATTTGTTAATGTTTTTGCAGTATCCAATCTAAAGTGGAAACTATTCATCAATTGTAAATGTTTGAATGCTCCGTTGAATGAGAAACGAACCGGGGGAAAAAAATCCCACGTCAAAGAAGGTGGAGTTCCAGAACACACCCACCGATCGCCACGGAGCAATGGTATCTCAAAATCCCCCCAAAAGTTCGCTTTGGTGAGCTGTTTCGAACTGCCGAAACAAACTCAAAACGAACTTCGTTTCGGCCTGATTTTGTTCGAAATGACGTCATATCAGTTCGTTCTTCGATTTCGTTTGAAGTATATTGGGGACTTAAGTAGCATTGCACCTACATATCTACTAAGTCTCACTAGAGTGTTAGTAGAGTGGTAGGGTTGGACTTAGATTAAGTTGACATGTATTTGCAAAGTTACTTATAGTCAGTAGAATGTCTGTTGGGAGACCATCACAATAAAGAGATAGCAGATATTGAGCAGACAGGCTACTAATATTTTAATGAGAGTTAGTTGACATGTAGGTGCAGTGTTACTTATTATCAACAGAATGTTCAAAAGGGACCATCAAAATAAAGTGTTACCCAAACTTTTAATGATTTTAAATAGTGCTACTGATAATATTGCTTCATGATATTAGATACCGAACTAATTCTTTTTTCTTCTGTTTTCTTCTCTCATTTTCTTCATTTACCTGTGAGTGAATATCAGATGTGATCACTAGTTTCAGTGTCTGAATAAAGAGGTTGTTGTTTGAAGAATCTTCGAGCTCATCTGTTTTTAGTTTCACCTTCACTGAAGTCTTTCACTCACCTGCAGTGATGTCATACAGCAGCTCCGCCCATAATCATCAATATGGAGCAGTTCCTTATTCATCCCTGGTGGTGAGTGTGTAAATAATGTAACAAACTTTAAGAATATCTGTGTTGTTTTTAGGCCATTGTTTGACAAGAGAAGTGGCAAATATCGAGTTATCACAGTTTTAATGTACAAATAATCATTGTTGCAACTACTTGGTTTAGTAGTTTGCAAATTTGCAAATGTAGCTAGATATAGCAAATACCTAAATCATACTTGTTACAGCTAATTTCACAACTAGAATTTTATGAATCCCATATGCGTATAACTAAATAAACAGCACATAAGAAAGATGATCACAAGTGAAACTGGTACAAGGTTAAACAATGATGACATCTTAAAAAAGTAAAAATAAATATAATTATATAAATCAATATATAAAAATAAATGATGAAAGCATAGTAAAAAGTTCCCAAGACAATGCCAATGTGACCTTTACACAATAATAGTAATAATAATAATAAAAAAATTGTGTTCATTTAAATCAAACTGTTTTCACTGTACGAGTGTACAGTATGTCACCATCCTGAAGCTTGAAACTGCCGTTTAAATTGCAACGGTCATTTGAAGTGAAGTGAAGTGATATGTGGCCAAGTGTGGTGACCCATACTCGGAATTAGTGCTCTGCATTTATCCCATCCAAAGTGCACACACACAGCAGTGAACACACACACACCGTGAACACACACCCGGAGCAGTGGGCAGCCATTTTTTGCTGCGGCGCCCGGGGAGCAGTTGGGGGTTCGGTGCCTTGCTCAAGGGCACCTCAGTCGTGGTATTGAAGGTGGGAGAGAGCGCTGTACATTCACTCCCCCCACCTACAATCCCTGCCGGTACGAGACTCGAACCCACAACCTTTGGGTTACGAGTCCGACTCTCTAACCATTAGGCCACGACTGAGGAGAATCTGTTGACTGTTGGTTTATCGAGCTAAGATATAAGAGTATTCATTTAATTTAATTTTCATGACAGAATGATGTAAATAATTGTGCAAAACCTACAGTTTGCTACTTTTATAAGCAGGTAAAAGAGTCAGTAGTCTATCATCAAACTTAAGAAATTCTCATCAAGAGTTTAGTGTCAATTCTCAGTGCAGCACAGAAGGAGACTCGCCGGTAAAACCACATAAGAAAGATCACAAGAGAATAAAGTATATATCTAAACATATGTCAAATATATATACTCTTACAATATAGTGTGCTATTTGGTTGCCCATTGTGGATACTGGAGGAGCTGAAAACAAGCCTGAGCCCTGATACTCCAGAGATGAAGAGTGCTTCTGCTCCATACTGACAGTACTTAGCAGTAATGCACTATTTTGTAGTTAAAGATCCGCTGTAAACGAAACGAAACAGCAGCCGCTTACTTTGGAAGGAAGTTCGTACAGTGTTCACAGTTTTAGAAGAAACCGCAGAAGTTTGAGAATGGCATGTTTAAAATGTATTTGTTTAAACTTGTTGAATGAAATGATAATGTGTCTGTCCATGCTGGATATTGATGATTTCATCACAGAAATCTGTCAGCTGAAGAAAGATGAAGTGTCACAGTAAGTAAATATGATATTAAATATATTTATATGTATATTAAACATGATTTAGTGTCAGTATCATCAGAGCAACAAGAAGCTTCCAAAGAAGCTTCCAAGACACCATGGTCTTGTAAGGCTCACGCGATTGGCCCAACGAAGGAATCCAATGGTGGCTGAAGGTTTCTTGTGTGTTCGGTCTCTTCAGCGTGCAGAGTTTTTTAATTTAAGTTCAATTATAATCTGACTGCATTTTATTATGACCTTGAATTTAGGTTGAAATGCAAATTGGTTGTTTGTCCATTTCTAATGATTATTCTTCTGACATTTGGTTATTCTAGTTAACTCTTTACTTAATATTTACTCGTTCATAAGAAATGTTGCTCAGAGGTTCTCATGCCGGTCGGTAAACAGCAATAAAATCTGAAATGAACTGCCCCATGAATGTTGTTTCTTATGCTCAAACGTTTAAAAAGCTTATTTTTCAGGCTAGAGCAGCCAATGCAACTGCATAACAGTTAGTCAGAAATCTAGAATCTCGTCTGATGTGCCCCATGCTCCATCTAACCTGAGATCTAGTATGTACTTAACCCTGGACGCAGATTTGCAGAAACATGCCTTCACTTAATCTACTTGAGCAAACAATTTTAGAGTAAATCAAAATAAATCAAATGTAACAAATTATTAGTCAGGTAAAATGTATTATGCCAATTACATTGGTCAATTCAGAGATAATCAATACAAGACACCAGAATATCAAAAATAAATCTAAGAGTAAAAGATATACCTGACTTCAGGAAAATACATAGTATGGAGTGTATGGACACAGCCCACACTATGGGTTCATTTGGCTACAGAATCGCACTGATCTCCTAAGGACACATTGCAGCTTTCACTTAAGTACCTCAGACCAAGACCAAAATCTTCCAAATGGAAACAGGAACTAACAATTGGAATTTGCATTGATCCAGTCCTACACGTTGAGAGCTTACACCTTTTGGGTACAGATGGTAATTTGCATGAAAGAAATGGCACACACTCTACAGTGAGCAAAATATCTCTAAACTCTTAGGCTCTGTATTACCTTTTAGTCTACTTCTTGTAAGATTGAGACCATTGTACCAGTCACACAGAGACTATTTAAATTATACCAAACATGACTATGAATATCACTTGCATTTATGTACTGTAGAACATTATATTATCCTCAAGATTCAAGATTTTTTATTTGTCACATACATGGTTATATAGAGAATATATGACCAGCAGTGAAATGTAAGTCAGGTCCTGTTGACCATTCTGAGTGAGCTGAGTGACAGGAGATGGGTGAGAGGAAGTGGATGGAAAGGACAGGTGATAGGACTTTCCTCGCATCTTCTCTCAGTGAGATGTCAAAACGGATGTCTGTATGTGTGTGTATTGGCCGTATTTCAGAAGATCAAAGCGTGTGAGGTTCTTCAAATCAGGGTTCTTTTTCACAGCTTTTCTGATTTATCTGTCATCAACTGCTGTTGATTTTCTCAGCTGACCAGGTTGCTGTTGCTCACGTTGCTGGTGGTTTCTTTATTTTTCGGGACATTTCAAACTGTTGATTTCTTCATGCCCACTGTTTTTGATATATAGCTCTAATTGAGATCCTTTTTCTTTTAGCATTGAAATTACTTGCTTTTCCCTCAAGGTCAGCTCCTTGACTTCATCCTGGTTTGTGTGTGTCGTCATCAAATGTAAGACTCAGAATGCAGAACTTATTACCTGCTTTTAATATCTGGACAATTAATATAACAAGACACAGCTGATGACTTGAAAACCTGTGAGCCAACGGCCCCAATATTTATGCTCACAACAGATAGGAGGATGAAAGTCTAAAAGTGCTTATTTTCTTAGATGGTAAAACAGATTTCTTGATTTCTTGACTCCACAGCAAACAGAAATTCCCTTCTATTTCTGGAAATGAAATAGTCCAGTCTTAGCTGTGACAACTTAAATTTTTTCATGCAACATAATTTACAAATATTTAATTATTATTATTATACGTATCTTGGTGTGTATTCTTTTGTGTTTTTTTTATTTACATATCTTAATCATTTAAAAAAACAGCCCATGCATAGTTAATCTTTCCAGATTTCATGTTTCATATTGTAGGGTAATTTATTTGTTAACAGGTGTGATCAGCGGCGTGCACAGACTGGCAGGGAAGAAATGAAGTTACGAGCGCACGACTGCATTGTGCAGGGGGGAAGGAGGGGTCCCTCTTGGTAGGACTCTCGGCCCAGGGGGGGTGGTCCTCGGTAGAGGTTGTGGTCCGGTGGCACCTTGACCAGACCGAAAGAGGAATTTAGCGTCGGCGATTAAAGGGGCAGGGGCTCGAACCACCCCTGCCCTTCCCCTGGGTGAGATGATCAGCGGCTTTGAATTTTTACCTTCATCATTAAGGCCTGGGCTAAAATATGGATAGAGTCTGTCAGTGAAAGTCTGACCAGTGAAAGAATGGATATGAAAGCTGGACTCCACGTCATAAAAAGAGACCAGACCCTCCTCATAATCCACAAACACTCCCACAATCTCAGGTTTCACTCTCAGAGATAAAGAGACAGATGGATTTTCACATGCATCATATTCATTTTCATTTCTCAGAATCACAGCCCAGTATCCATCCACTGGAGCCATTGTGTTTGTCTCCTTCCTGTTAATAGATTCTCTGGCCACTCCTAAATTCCATTCAGTCTTTCCCTTCACCTGCACCTCATAGTAAAATTTCCCTGAACTAAATCCCTCCTTTGCCAGAACAGAAATTACATCAAATCTCTTTGGGTTTTCTGGGACGTCCTGCTCAATATCTCCAAGACTGACATGTTTTCCATCATCAGACAGGATGAGATATGGATAAGCTGTATCAGGATCCAGAGTCACATCCACTAGATGAGAGATTAGACATTATCAGTTGACTTGAGAACAAACATGTTCATATATAATACAAATTACTATATAAACAAAGTATTGTTTAAGTATTGTGTATAGTTTGTATTAGAGAAAATGGTGTCAGTCACACTGTACCTGTATACTTCTGTGCCCACTTCAACCCTGTGGACACAGATGACAAAATAATGATGAATTATTTATAGGAATATTCCAGATAAACAAGATTATCTTCATTGGATGCATCAGTAACATGTAAATGTGCCTTGTCCAGTGGTTTGTGAAACAAAATGCAGAATGTGTTTACAGTAGGGATGGTACGATTCACTGATTCACATTGGTGCGTCAACATAAAAGTTAATGATGCGATGCATCGATTTAAAAAATTGTGTATCGGATACAAGTTCGCATTTGTATCGCGATGCATCATTTCTATTTGCATCGGTAAAAAATGTTTAAGTACAATTATTAGCAGATGCGCTATACTTTTATTATTTAGAAAGTGACCAATAATTTGTGACCAGTATTTTATATGTAGATTGATTTCTCCTCACTAAACTGTTTCTCAAGCGCTTTCTCTCGTCACTGCTGCTACGTGAATATGACGTATCACAACACTACGGAGACCAAGGCGAGTCCTGAGAATCAAATAGAATACAGATTAACATGTAGAGCTGCATCTTCCACCAAATAATTACAATGAACCAACTGAATTGCATAGCATCATATTTTTTTCCATTGAATCGCATTGTGTTGAATCGAATCACACTGCATCGTAATAGAAGTGAATCGTGTCACATCAGATCTGTAGCTGCTTCATATATATCTTTAATGTATCGTTGGCTATGCATTGAGATGCTTATCACATCGGCCTCAGTTATGGTCTGGAGATGCACATCCCTAGTTTACAGTTAATGCCCATACAATGGAAGTCTATGAGACAATCATACCAGAGAGAGGTTCAAAGAAATGTGGTGTGTATTTTTATTAAAATTATAAAATTGATTTTCTTATAAAATGGTTGGGGAGAGACCACCTCGTGATTGTAAAGTGCTTTGGGTGTACAGCAATACACAATAAAGCGCTATATAAATGCTTCATTCATTCATTCATTCAAATTTATTTTCTTGAATGCCCAGAAAAATTTTATAAAAAAAAAAAAAAACTATGTAAAATAGATAAACAAACAAACTGCATTTGATATTCACATACCAGTTTGACAGAGTTTTTCATTTAGTGTCTCATAAGTTTTTTCCAGTTGAGTCAGAGCTCTATGCAGAGAGAGCACATTCACATCAGAGTCAATACTGATCTCAGTCCAGTTCTTGGTGTGTAGATGACTGTGTAGGAATGAGAACACCTACAACAGGAGAAAGAAGACGTCATGAGGTTGGTTCGCTCCGCTGGCCAGTGAAGTAATTTAAGCATTTCTTTACTTTTTTAACACACGCTTGTTTTGAAATGGAGGAAGAAAGGAAGGAAGATGAACTTGAAAGGACTGCTGAGCCCATAATAAGTGCAACTGCTTATGCATTTGAGACGATACAGCAAGGGGACTGAGCAGTACGGCTGTTACAGGTCAGAAACAATATGTGTTTATGTGGCTACTCATCAAAACAATTAAATTAAAAACTTTTTTGTTTGTTTTTTTGTTAGGCACACACAGGCCACTACCGTTGTTTTGTTTACTCTATATTTATTTTATACAATTTTATATTTTTGAGTAAAGACCAAGGCAAGTAACCCCTTCTTCTTTATTTAGATTTTTTTCTGCTAGTTGTTGGAGAAACTTGGGTGGTTTTGTTATTTTGTTGTATGCTAGTTTCTTTTATTAATTGAAATTGTATATCAAAATTGTTTTCTCTCCCTGAACAAAGAAACACATTAATATATACTATATAATGCTGTGTCTCCTCTGAGACTCAGTCAGGAATAAAATAATCCCTTTTTAGATGTTGTGGCTGTCTTATACCCTGACGTAATGTTGAATGGCCACGCACGTGAGAATGATGAACTTTCTTGAGGAAGCAGCACTGGCCCAATTGTTCAGGTAGGTGATTAGTTTTAGCGTCCTGTTAACAGCAGGTAAGCTGATTGTATTCGCAGGTAGGGCTGCTCGATTATGGCAAAAATCATAATCACAATTATTTTGGTCAATATTGTAATCATGATTATTTAACACGATTGTGAGTGGGCCATATGACCAAAACTTTATATGAGTGATTTATTTAAAGATGTGGTCTTAGTGATATATATCAAATATATATTTTCTGTAAATAAGGTTGCTATGACATATACAGAGTTCTGGCATGAAACTCTAGATGGCGCAGTCCGATAGGTCTAACTCAATCTGACCTAATGACATCATTATCACATGGCACAGCTGATTGGTTCTCTCCTGTATCGGTAGCCAATGAGCTCGCTGCTCAACATTCAAATATATGACTAGTGCTTGCCCTAGCAGTTGCAGCTTGCTTCAGAACAGCAAAATCAACATCTAAGATAAGTGAATGTTCTTCTAATCCATATAGCTGTCTGTATTGCGTGGTCTGCCTAATTGTATTTAAAAATGAGCAACCATAATCAAGTTTAAACTAAGTGTCATGTTAGCAGTTTGCATTGTATGCAGGAGCGAAATATTAAGCATATTAGCAGCAGCATTTAGCATCTGTGTTTATACAGCTGGAGCAAAATGCAGTTTAGAGCATACGTAATTGCTTGAGGACACGCCGACAGTAACGGACATGAAAAAGGTTAAATGGAATAAGCATTCTTGTGTATGCATTTCAACGGGGGTTCACCATATACATCGGCGATTATCCCAGTGTTCACGTTCGTTATTTCTAAGGTCGATGTTTTCATTGTGATGAGTGTGTGGTTGATTTCAGCTGCACGCAGTGTCAGAAGCACGCGCTTATCGCAGTCATATCAATGACAGTGATGCGGGAGACGCTGAAGATCACTATCTATGGCTGTCGTAGTCCTGAGCGAAATGCATTATGGGAAGTGTTGTTCGGAGAAATGTGCTTGTGCGATGTGTGCTCTCGCTGTGCCGTGTAATTCAGAAAACAGAGAAAGAACATTTATATTCTGCTTTTATTTCAGTTCATTAAGGTCAGTCCACCCAGGGGTTTTGGTGCACTGTAACTCTGACAACTTTATCTGCACGAGAGAGTAAAATGGCATGCATTGGCTAACTTTGTCCGTCTCATCATTGCACAAGCATGAATTTACAAGCTGTTACGCTGCCGCTGGGACTGACGAAGTGGAGAAAGTAACAGCAGTTATCAAATGACTAAATTTGCTCAGGTGGGTGCTGGGGTCTTATCTATCAGATTGCAACGTATATCCATTTTGTTAATTAAACATTACACAGTGCGCGTCTAATTAGAGTTAAGCCAGTTGGCGTGGTAGCCCAGGCTCACATAGTCATAGGCCACTATTGTTAAGCCGGTCGGCATGGTAGCCAAGGCTCACATAGCCATAGGCCACTATTGTTAAGCCAGTCGGCGTGGTAGCCCAGTCACACATAGCCATAGGCCACTAGCATTAAGCCGGTCAGCGTGGTAGCCCAGGCACAAATAGATAGTAATACATGCGGTTCACATGGATCTTCAGAGCAGCAGCAGTACATATGTCTTGGCGATAGATCTGCTTGTTGTTGGGGCGGGTGTTTTTGTCTTGTTTTGGCTTGTATTGTCCTTTCTATGTCTCCTACTTTGTGGGGGGTTATTTCATGTATGTTATATTTGCAGCAGCAATATTTCTTACATGCTCACAGCAGCATGTCATTCACAACAAGCAAGTCTCGGTACTTGCTCTGCAGCAGCAGCAGCGTAGCAGATCTATTCCGCCAAGACCAAATACATTAACATTGTCATGTACATTACCATGCCAATCCCTCCGAGAGTTGTCATGACAGAAATACAGAGTTCTGGCATGAAACTCTAGATGGCGCAGTCCGTTAGGTCTAATTCAATATGACCTAATGACATCATTATCACATGGCACAGCTGATTGGTTCTCTCCTGTATCGGTAGCCAATGACCTCGCTGCTCAACATTCAAATATATGACTAGTGCTTGCTGTAGCAGTTGCAGCTTGCTTCAGAAACCCTCCGCCTTCCCCAGCTCCACCTGTATAGATCTGTTATGAGGTATTCATGTATGCTATATGGGGGTTATTTCATGTATATTATATTTGCAGCAATATTTCTTCCATGTGTTTTGGTAAGGAAAATATCCATATTTAAAACGTTATAAACGCTTTTCTCTCACTTCCACTAACTGTCATACGTGGAAGCCATTCCGGGGCGGATGAAGTAGGATGTAGGCGTAGCGCATGTGGCAGTGACGAACATGGAAACGTGGAGGAGAGAGACCAAAAAACGCAGGTCACAAATTAGAAATACAAAATGAGGATTTGTAAAGAAGATGTCAGAGGATTTTGATATAAGCCAAGAGGAGACTGGTTTTCCTTTGCTAAAGTACGGAAACTTTGCTTCCATTGCTCCTGTAAATAAACGCTCTGGTTACTCATGTAACCTTGGTTCCCTGAGATAAGGGAACGAGTGTTGCATCATCTTGACGACTTATGGGGAAACTCCTTTTTACTCTTGTTACTGAAGCCTGATTTGTTGACGTTTGTGTAGCTGCACAAATCAATGGCGCTCGAGCCCGCCAGAAGGGACGGAGCCTACTGCTATATAAGTTGGCCCAGGAGCTCCATCTCATCAGAATCATACAACTGAAGCGACAGCCATCGATTCGCGTGCAGCTTATAGCATGGCTAGTTAAGCAACGCTCATTCCCTTATCTCAGGGAACCGAGGTTACGTGAGTAACCGGAGCGTTACCTATCGAAAGGTAACTCTCATTGCGTTGTCTTCACGACTTATGGGGAATGCATCCAGTAGCATCGACTCGAGGGGGGAAAAGGGGTAAATATTAAGTGGATAAGATATGTGCCTGCAGGGCAGGGATGTCCAAATTGTAAAATCTAATGAAGGTAGACGGCGACGACCAGCTGGTGGCCGCACAAATCTCCCCAATAGAAATTCCACTGGACCAGGCCCAGGAGGAGGCCATTCCTCTGGTGTAATGGGCCCTCACACCTATAGGGCATTGAGAACCAGCTGAGGCATAAGCCAGGGCTATAGCATCTACTATCCAGTGAGATAGTCTTTGCTTTGTGACCGGCAGCCCTTTAGAGTGGCCTCCAAAGCACATAAAGAGCTGGTGTGTTTGTCTAAATGACTTGGAGTGCTCAACGCAAACTCGGAGTGCCCAATCAGCGCAGAACAAGTTGTGACCCAGTTCGCCGTCCGTCCCGAAGAGGGCTCACAAGGAAATAACCTGGGCTCTGAACGGAGTTGAGAGCACATTAGGTACATAACCGCTGTGCAGTTGAAAAATGACTTTATAGTTGTTGGGTCCAAACTGCAGACAGGAAGCGCTGACAGACAGGGCTTGCAAGTCACCTACCCGCTTGATCGATGCTAGGGCCAAAAGCAGAGCGATTTTGAGAGTCATGACCCTTAAGCCGGCTGTTTGAAGCGGCTCAAAGGGAGGCCCTTTGAGGGCCCTCAGGATTATAGATAAGTCCCATGCTGGGCTCCCATCAACTGCCAAGCGCCTTTGAGGAACTTAACGACCAGGTCGTTTCTGCCGATTCTCCGGCCTGCCTCGGGAGAATGGTTTGCCGCGATGGCTGCCACATAGACTTTGAGTGTGGAAGGGGTGCGCCCCTTATCCAACAGCTCTTGCAGGAAGGTTAGCATGTGGGACACGTCACATGAAATCGGATCCTAGTTACGTGCTGAACACCAGTCACTGAAGACTGACCACTTGAGGGTGTAGAGACGCCTTGTAGATGGAGCTCTATCCTCTAAAATGGTATTAGTGACTCTCGCTGGGAGCTGACTAGGCTCCCGTCGAGTGGCCAGGCATGAAGGTTCCACAGTTTCGGCTGGGAATGCCAAATCTTGCCCTGCGCTTGCGAGAGAAGGTCTCTCCTCAGTGGTACTGACTACGGTGCTGCAGACAGCAGCTGGATCATCTCCGGGAAATAGACTTGGTTCCTCCAGAGAGGGGCTACAAGGAGGAGAGAGCATTTTGTTTCCCTGACTCGCCTGATAATCTGGGGTAGCAGAGCGACCAGAGGGGAGGCATACAGATGGGTGTTGGGCCAATCGTGGGCCAGAGCATCCCGCTGTCTTGAAAAATAGGTTGGGCAGTGATAGATGTCTTCGGAGGTGAAGAGGTCAACCTCTGCTTTGCCAAAAACTGACCAGATCCTCTGAACCATCTGGGGATGTAGTTTCCATTCCCCTGGAGCTACATTGTCCCTGGACAACATATGGTCCCTGGTTCAATCTGCCCAGCACATGAACCGCTCGTGGTGAGAAGAGTTTGCTCTGTGCCCAAAGCAGGAGATGTCGAGTTATCCTGTGCTGAGGACGTGACCTGAGGCTGCCTTGGTGGTTGATATAGGCCACCTCAGTCGTGTTGTCCAACCGGACCAAGACGTGGCGTCCCTTTATGGCTGGCACAAAGTTTTTCAGGGCCAGACAAACAGCCATTATTTCAAGGCAGTTGATATGTAGGCATCGCTCGTGGGTTGACCAGGAGCCGTATGCCGAGTTGCCCTCGTACAGAATGCCCCAGCCTAAGCTGGAGGCGTCTGTCGTGACCACCTTCCATCTGGAGGTCGTTCACAACTGCACGCCTGACAGAAACAGGTAAGAAGTTGTCCAAGGGGACACAGCTTTGATGCAGCGATGGGTTACCCTGACATAAACGTGGCCCAGGTGCCAGGCGTGGGACGGAACTCGGGCTTTTAGCCAGTATTGAAGGGGCCGCGTGTGTAGCAGGCCCAGGGGAATAACTGAGGAGGCAGCTGCCATGAGGCCGAGCATCCTCCGAAATGCCCTGAGGGGACATGCAGTCCCCGGCTTGAAAGACGCCACCACTCGCTGGCTATTCAGGGAGCGATCTGGTGTAATCCAAGCTTGCATTTGCACAGACTCTATAACTGTTCCCAGAAAAAGTCAGAAAACTCTTGGCTGAATTGATTTTCAGCCCAAGATGCTTTACGGGGTTGAGCAACAACGACCTGTGAACAAAAAGTTACCATTCTGAGTCGGCCAGAACTAGCCATTCGTCGAGGTAGTTTAATACGCGGATTCCCATCTGTCTCAGAGGGGAAAGAGCCACGTCTATGCACTTCGTAAAAGTGTGAGGGGCCAGGGACAGTCCAAACGGAAGGACCGTGTACTGATAGTTAACGAAGTTAACATTCTGAAAGGCCGTCGCATTCTTTTGTGCCTCCGTGAAGCGCTCTGTGAAACTGTCCACGGCAGGACCGAAGAGTCCCTTAGGAGAGACTGGGGAGTCGAGAATATCATTTTTTCAGAGTCCCTGATCTCCGTCAGGTTTAGCCACAAGTGGTGCTCCAACACCACCAGGTTGGCCATGGCCTTGCCCACTGACTGTGCTGTTGCCTTGGTAGCGCTTAGGGCCAGATCTGTCGCCGTACGCAGCTCTTTGAAGGCGCTAGGATCCCAGCCAGACTCATCCATGTCACGGAGAAATTTGGCCTGAAATACCTGTAGCACGGACATAATATGCAGGGCTGAGCCGGCCTGGCCAGCCGTTGCATAAGCCCTGTTGGCCAGGGCTGATGTCATCCTGCAGGACTTGGAAGGGTGTGCCGCAGTCTTAAGCCCACGGTTCGACGGTGGGAGAAGATGCTCAGCTACCGCCTCCTCCAGAGGTGGGAGCTTGCAGTACCCTCTGTCTTCAGCGCAGTCAACGGTGGTGAGAGCAGCTGTCGAGAGGATGGTTGACGATGTCCCTTCAAAAACCACTCATCAAGGAGGCTGGGGGCGGGCTCTTCCAGGGCCGACCACTCGAGGTTGAGTTCCTCCACACCACGCGTGAGAATGTGGATCAGCTCAGAGTCTACGCTGGGCTGCGTAGACTGGGATGAAGTGGGGGCTTCAGGCTCCTCGCCGGAACACACCCACTCTTCAGCGTCAGAATCCATCAAAGACATGGAGTTGTCGATGCCCACCTCTTCCTCAGAAGCACCGAAGGAAACCAAGCTACTCGCATCCGACAAGGGGCGCTGATCCTCACGTGTGAAACACATCAGCGATATAAGGTGCTGCGTGGAGAATGAAACGCACGGGTGCTGGGCCGACACGTCATAACTCGAGCCCGAGAGATGAGCCCCGCTGTTCCACTGCTTCTTCCTCTTGGGAGAGAAAGGAGACGGGAGAACGGAGCGGGGAGGACCGCCTTCATTGAAGAAGGCGAACCACAAGCGAAGACAGGCGAGACTCATGTTCTCGCAATGAGAACATGACGCCACAGTGAGCACAGCCTCTGCATGGGCAATCCCCAGACAGGCAACACACTCGCTGTGACCATCCGCTTCGTGCAAGGGGGTCCTTTATAAGGGGTTATTTATCTTAATTTAATGCTGTATATCAGTGATGGGCAAACTTGGCCCTTCCAGGCCACTTTCCTGCAGAGATTGGATCCGACTCTGATAAAACTCACCTGCCTGTAGCCTTCTAGTAGTCTTGAAGACAATGATTAGCTGGTTCAGGTGTGTTTGATTAGGGTTGGAGCTAAACTCTGAAGGAAAGTGGCCTGGAAGGGCCAAGTTTGCCCACCCCTGCTGTATATTGAGCAGCAAACAATGTAAAAGCCATATATGAGATACATAGGCTACATGAGGAAAATAATGCTTTGCTGGTCGGCTCCACCTAGCATGCAGACTTGAATAGGCAGAAGGTGATCAATAGGTTCGCGCTCGGTGTGAAAGCACTGTTCGTCAGCGATTCACATCGAGCTCAGTGTGAAACGGCCTTAACTCCGATTGGATTTGTCTGAAAGAAGAAAGTCATATACACCTAGGATGCCTTGAGGGTGAGTAAAGCATGGGCTAATTTTCATGTTTTGGTGATCTAACCCTTTAAGGGCTTTTTTAATGCAAGTCTAAAGTATTCAGTTAACAGCCTGCTACATAAATGAATAATCAAATGTAAAATAAAACAGCACTGTAATTCACTGTAAGAATGAAACTTTCTTTGTTTCTTATTAAAGCTACAACAGTCCTTCAGTCAAGAGCAGTGAGTGATTCTGTCTTTGTCGTATCTTGTTTGATTAATATTAAGCACACCTTTGGCAGCAGGAATATAGCCCGCTGTCACTTTAAGAGCTGCACGGATCCAATATACTGTTAAACACGTATTTTCATTCGCAACTCTTTATGTTCATTTATTACATAACAGACAAGGGTTTACTGCAATAATCACTAAGCACCAAGCTGTATTTGACCGTTAGGCATGCACCTTAAGCTAAAAGATTAATGTACATGTCCATGTTCTGTTCCGTCTTTGAGCACATACACAGAAATCCTCCTGAGGAACAGCACAAGTTCTCTTTATCACTTTTGAAAGCATAAATAAATATAATCAAATATAATAAATCGAGCACGTCCCATTTTGCATACGTCACCTTACATGATTTTACTGATTTGCATGTGAAATTGGGCTTTTATGGGGGAACGAAAGTGCACCACAGTAAAGGGTGAAATGGGGCACAATAATAATTTTATCTCAATTATTGTATTTTCATATTTGTTAGAGGCCGAAATCGAAATGTATTTAGATTAATTGCACAGCCCTATTCGCAGGTGAACAAAAAATATGTTACATACCACTACTGGTGAATGAGCCAGTGTAATGCAAATATGTCTGAAAGGTCTGACATAAGATGTGACATGAATGATATTGTATGAAGTGTTGTTTGTTTACATCACATTGCACCTCGCGATTTGAAAACAATGTTTGGGACCACGATCAAAGCTTCGTGATGTAGACAGTTTGATGTTGGATATTCATCAAAATTATGGTGAAAACCAAAAACATTTGTGTGTTAAAATAACATCTTTTTGTTCAAAAAGTAAAGAAATGCTATTTTACTTCAGCCAATGGAGCGAACCAACCCTATGATGTCAACCGCTGTGGTATTGCAAGCCCTTGCTCCAAAAGCTGTAACAAAAACTTTTTTCTTTAAAATGGTTACATTAATCATGTGTATATATTTATTTATTTATTTTATTAAAGAGGAAATCAGTTTTTCATTACTAAATAATGTAATAAGTAAAATAAAACTTAAATTACTGTTTCACTTCCATTTGAAACCAAAACCAAACATTACAAATATGAGATGTTGACAGACCAGTAGGAGGTGCAGATGATCGTCAGTGTGTGAGAGCTGCTCCAGCTCAGTGTTTCTCTTCTTCAGATCAGTGATTTCCTGCTGCAGCTCTTTAATGAGATCTTCAGCCTGTTTCTCTGCTGCTTTCTGCTGTTCCTCCATCATCAGCAGTAGCTCAGACTGACATCTCTGAATGGAGAGGATCAGATCAGTGAAGATCTCAATGCCCCATATGGCAAAAAAATATTTTTTGTGACCTAACTATATAGCAAATATTTGTTGTAAACAGTGAAGCTCAATGAAATATAGTTTTAAAATAGAAAGTATATGTAGTTTCAACTCTTATATACTAAAATATACTTCAAAATGTATTTCAGGGTCAAGAAAATACATTTCCAAAATGCTAAATGCAAATATGGATGGAATAGCCAAGAGATCAAAAGTACATTTAATAATGATTTAATGCTTTATATATATATAGATATACTTTCATACATGTATACATACTAAGGGTGTAATGATACACGTATTCGTATTGAACCGTTAAAATGTTTTTTAAAAAAAGGTATTTTAAAACAGGTCTATACAATGAAATATAGGCCTATGATTAAAATATTCAGTCATTGAATATTCAACACTTCAGTCATAAATAAAAATCAATGAAATAAAAAGCTTTTATTTCAAGCACAGACTTTCAAAAACAACCTGTTTAACACTAAATATGTTTCTTCTCATTTTTTTTCACTATGTAGTATTAGAAATAGTTAGCTATATACCGTTATCAGCATATGTTGAAGTAGATTCGTCTCGTCGTCTCTGAGAGAATATGCGGCGTCAGATGCCGAAAGCTCCGTCATTACTCCGTCATTCCATTTTTACTTTCACTTTCTGCATAGTGAATTTACTGACATTACTCCGTCATTCCGTTTTTACTTTCACTTTCTGCATAGTGAATTTACTGACATTAAGACGTTCACCGGCATAACTCTTGCGCAAAGTTTGCACGTTGCTTGTGTGTGATATCCATTGGCTCGTCTTCATGGCTTAAAACAGAAATATTTCCAACATTGCGACATAACCAATTAAGCCCCCCCGCCACCCCACCCCCATATCGAAAACGTACCGAACCGTGACACCACTGTGTCGTATCGAACTGAACCGTGAATTTTGTGAACCGTTACACCCCTAATACATACATGAGTACATATACATACATATGTACATATGCATATATATGTGTATATATATATATATATATATACAGTATATACTCACACATATATGTATTTGTGTTCTGTTTCTTTCTCTTTAATCACGGTGCCTTGATAGCCAATCACATTACAGCCTTGACGACACTGAATTTCAGCCAGAGTTGTGCGACTCTCAGTCGCTGTTTACGAATACCATAGGAATTTACTATGTTATACGCTGTTTATTCAGTGTAGTGAAGCCTCTCCTCCATTGACATCCATTAAAAAAAATGGGCTCTGGTCTCCTAAGCGGAACCAAAGCGGAAGCATTAGCATTACCTATTATGCTTTTTTGGCTAAAGGTTGCATGCTTGCGTTCCATTGGCTTTGACAGAACTCCAAAAATTTCACTGTTTGTATCAGTCCACTTCTGGTATTTCTCACAGTGAGTGTCATGGCGGACGTCCAAATCCACTGTAATTTTATAATTTTTTTTTGTCACCAGATGTAGTTATAAGAGTTTTTTAAGTGAGAATTTACTTGTTTAGACTTAAAATATGTGGGAAATCACTCTTAACAGATGAAAGAATAGTATGGCAAAGATTTCCTCAGTGGACATTCAAACGAATGTTTTATTGTGAATATAAGACTGAGCTGAAGAATGAATGCTGTATCATATGCAGGTAATCACACTCGCTCAGTCCTTCTCTCTCTCATAATACTCTAATACAGGGAGCTTTTACAGCTTTTAATACTCAACGTTCATTCATTACTAGTTCTCAAGTAACATTTTCAAATTAGTAGCAGAGGCTTGGGCTCAGCAGTAATCTATATTAATTTGAAATGTGACTTATCTATTTAATTCAGAACCTTCATTAAAGGGATAGTTCACCCAAAAATGAAAATGTGATGTTTATCTGCTTACCCCACCCCCATATCGAAAACGTACCGAACCGTGACACCACTGTGTCGTATCGAACTGAACCGTGAATTTTGTGAACCGTTACACCCCTAATACATACATGAGTACATATACATACATATGTACATATGCATATATATGTGTATATATATATATATATATATACAGTATATACTCACACATATATGTATTTGTGTTCTGTTTCTTTCTCTTTAATCACGGTGCCTTGATAGCCAATCACATTACAGCCTTGACGACACTGAATTTCAGCCAGAGTTGTGCGACTCTCAGTCGCTGTTTACGAATACCATAGGAATTTACTATGTTATACGCTGTTTATTCAGTGTAGTGAAGCCTCTCCTCCATTGACATCCATTAAAAAAAATGGGCTCTGGTCTCCTAAGCGGAACCAAAGCGGAAGCATTAGCATTACCTATTATGCTTTTTTGGCTAAAGGTTGCATGCTTGCGTTCCATTGGCTTTGACAGAACTCCAAAAATTTCACTGTTTGTATCAGTCCACTTCTGGTATTTCTCACAGTGAGTGTCATGGCGGACGTCCAAATCCACTGTAATTTTATAATTTTTTTTTGTCACCAGATGTAGTTATAAGAGTTTTTTAAGTGAGAATTTACTTGTTTAGACTTAAAATATGTGGGAAATCACTCTTAACAGATGAAAGAATAGTATGGCAAAGATTTCCTCAGTGGACATTCAAACGAATGTTTTATTGTGAATATAAGACTGAGCTGAAGAATGAATGCTGTATCATATGCAGGTAATCACACTCGCTCAGTCCTTCTCTCTCTCATAATACTCTAATACAGGGAGCTTTTACAGCTTTTAATACTCAACGTTCATTCATTACTAGTTCTCAAGTAACATTTTCAAATTAGTAGCAGAGGCTTGGGCTCAGCAGTAATCTATATTAATTTGAAATGTGACTTATCTATTTAATTCAGAACCTTCATTAAAGGGATAGTTCACCCAAAAATGAAAATGTGATGTTTATCTGCTTACCCCCAGGGCATCCAAGATGTAGGTGACTTTGTTTCTTCAGTAGAACCCAAATGAAGATTTTTAACTCAAACCGTTACAGTCTGTCAGTCATATAATGGAAGTGAATGGGAATCACGGCTTTGAGAGTCAAAAAACATGCACAAACAAAACCAAATTTAACCCTGCGGCTCGTGACGATACATTGATGTGTAAAGACACGAAACGATCGGTCTGTGCAAGAAACTGAACCGTATTTATATCATTTTTACCTCTGATTGACCGCAATGTCCGAACTGTCCTGAGCGCATTCACATCTTCTTCTTCAGCCGGCACGTGACGCGTCTTCTTCTTCTTCTTGCTTTATGGCAGATCGCAGACTTATAAGTGCATTACCGCCACCTATCTCTCAAATGGACCATTGACACTCCTAATTGAGATTGTAGATAGAGCCCTGCGGCTCGTGACGATACATTGATCCTGAGCGCGTTCGCATCGTCTTCTTCAGTCGGCACGTGACGCGTCTGCTTCTTCTTCTTGCTTTACAGCAGATCGCAGACTTATAAGTGCATTACCGCCACCTATCTCTCAAATGGACCATTGACAGTTTTTTGACTCTCAAAGCCGTGATTCCCATTCACTTCCATTATATGACTGACAGACTGCAACGGTTTGAGTTAAAAATCTTCGTTTGTGTTCTACTGAAGAAACAAAGTCACCTACATCTTGGATGCCCTGGGGGTAAGCAGATAAACATCACATTTTCATTTTTGGGTGAACTATCCCTTTAAGCTGATTGAAATATTATAATGCATTCTTAATTTTAATATTTTTTTCCCACTCACTTTTCTATTCTCCACTGAGTGCTGGATCTCCTGAATCTTCTTCATTCTGTCCTGGATCATCTGCTGCACGCCTGCCTGTGTCTGAACCAGCTTATTCTACATATAAAGGAAAACACAAACACATTTATCACTGAATTTAATTTTCCATTTTCTAACAAAAAGTCATATTTGAATAATGAAAACTGTTTAACCCCTTAAAGGGATAGTTTACCCAAAAATGAAATTCTGTCATTAATTACTCACACTCGTGTCGTTCCAAACCCGTAATACCTTTCAGTTTTCATCAAAAATATTTTCATTTGTGTACCGAAGATGAACGAAGTTCTTAGGGGTGTGGAAGTAATTAATGACAGAATTTTCATTTTTGGGTGAACTAACCCTATAACTGTCACCATCTTACCTGTGGGATGCATGGCGCCCTTTTTTTTTTTTTTGGTCTTTTTTCCCTATCACATATTTTAGTAATCATCATAAATTATATATAATTTGAAAGCTTGAAATTAAATATAGAAATGCCCTAAATAAAATCTCACAGGAACAAATTTTTTTATATCAACTTCAAATTTGGAACATAACTTATTTAGACATAAGGCTGTATTTTTATAGCAATTTTGGATTAAAACATATTTTGTAAAATATTTATTTTATATAAAATAAAAAATAAGTACAATGCATTTTCTTTACAGTAAACTTAAACTTCTATAACTTTTTGATACCTTCATATTTGGAAAGGATTTCTACAATAATCTGCTGTTTGTCTTCTTAAAAGAGTCAAACCTTAGGTCTGTATTCCAAAGCAATCATGAATCATAACAGTTTAAGTTTGGATAGTGCACTTTCACGTCTATGTTCAAAAATGGGGTAGGTCCCATGAATTGAAAATTTTGGGTCAATGTTTGACTTTTAGTCTGTCAGCTTTGGGGAAAACAAATGTATTCTTAAAAACTGACAAAACAAATTTTATCAGACATGCATTTAAAAGGATATTAGCTTTGGAAGCAGGGGCGGTTTCTTGTGCAAGGATTGGTGGGAACAGTGACATCCAATAATATTTAAAAACTATTTTGAATTTTAACAACAAGAAAAAATGAAAAACTACTTTAATATATTTATCAAATGTGAAAAAAGAAAAAGAAAAAAAAAACAGAGAGACGGGGACAGCTATGCCAACTCAAATTCAGTTGTCAGTTGAACATGATCGTCATTTTGGTGAACGTTACCTCAGCGCAGATTAATTCTGTCGTGTCATTGAAAGAAATACCATTCAGTCGTCGTAGCAATAAGGATAAATTGTCAATTAAAGAATTAGGACCACCACGACCAAATTTAAACATCAAACATGTATCTACAAAGGGCGGGAAGTTGTATAAACTGGGATTTTCGAGGACTTTGTATGAGCGGAAAAAATGGCTAGCGGGCTGCGAAGTAGCTAACGCTTTATTCTGCTACCCCTGCATTTTGTTCCATCCCGAGAGCGTCACGTGACGGACATCGCATGGACAACTACAGGTGTAATGTAATACAAGTGAGCAATGTGATGTAAGTAAGCAGTGTAATGTAAGGGAGCAATGTAATATAAGTGAGTAATGTGATGTAAGTGAGCAGTGTAAT